TCGATATTTTGACCCCAAACGTTGGCAAAATGTTTTCTATAGTTTTCTCCAGTTTTCCCCAAAGTTTCAGCCAGATTGGAACACTCTCCGAGTTTTTGCAGAGTTTTTTTCCTTTTTTGCCGACTCCCTGAATAACCCCATTATAGGAACCGAGATAATTGTCCAATAAATAAAAAAACAGATGGTGTGCCTTCGGCGCAATTCAACCTAGTTTTTACTCGTTCGTCCTTAGTTTTTCACTTTTTTAGTGGGTTACGTAAATCTAATTTCAATTTTCGAGTTTTTAAAACTTTTCACACGTTACGCAATAAATCTTTAAATCAATCAATATTAGGTCACGCCCCCTACCTCTGTCCACGTTGTAAAAATTCCACGTATTGAAAAAAATAATAATCCTTTGAGAAATCCTACTTTTTGAATTAGTTTGATAATTTTCACTAGCACTTTTTGATTGCCCTGAAGCTCCCTGCGTAAGCTGTTTATTGTTTCATTTGCTTTTTTCTTTCGATTAGTCGGATGCGAAAAAAGTTACAAAAGGCCCTCAGGGTCGCCATGTTTGGTGGTTCATGGCTAGGTGAAATCATTTTCACTGAACGTCCCCCTATTGCAAAAGACTCAATCAAAGAAAAAAGAAACAAATGAACAAAAACAATAAATAGCGATCGTATAGCTTTTTAGCAGTGAAAAAGAACTATTGAAAATTAGAAAACTGTCTCCTCGGAGGCAGGGGTTTTGTGTTGGTGTTTTCCCCCAGTGAAAACCCATTTTCCCTTTCATGTACTGAGCCTCTACGTGGCGAAAGGGATCAACAGACGAAAGTCTGGCTAATCAGTACACTTTTGAAACTTGTCATTTTTTATCATTTGTGTTGATATGTTCAGGAATATCAGTATTTGAATTTTTTTCAATAAATCCTTTTTTTACATCTTTTATTTCATTTTTTTTTCTTTTCCAAGCCTGTTTCCAAGAAGGAAGAATCAAAATAGGGCACCTCCGTCTTCGCTGGAGGTCGTGATCCACTGATATTTGGAGTGGACGTATAAACTGTTGCAAAGGGCTGGCAAAAATGAACGACTAGGCCGAAACCTCTAACAGCTCTCAAGTTATGACCCTAAACATGGGTGGACGTAAGAACCTGCAACGCACTGTATATAAAAGGAGTTTGCGAGCTTGAAAAACTTCATCAAACAATAAATAAACTAACCATAAATCTTGATTCTCCTGACTTGAATTCGTGTTTCACCTGAATCTGGCCCGTGTGCTCTAGTCCAGATAAAATTCATTCGATTTCCCCAAAAAAGCTTTATAAAGACATTTAAAAACCACCAAAATTACAATTACATGTACTTGGAGCAATGATTTGAAGAATCACTTCTCTGAAAAGCTGATTATAAGTGAAATTTGCAGATGATTGACATGAAAAGCTAGAAAATCTCAATTTGAAATAATTGAAAATAAGCAATTGGAACCCGGAAGAGATAAGTTGAAACGGAGGGAACAACGGGTGAGAGAAGGTCCTTTGGTGAGAGATTCCGAAAGACAGGGGTAGTAGAATTAGAAAAAAAATACTTTTGATCTTTGAATCACCAGTTAGAAATTAGATGAACTAAAAAAAGAAGCGACAGATTTAAAAGCCTTTGAGAGTAGGTTGATCTTTCCATAATGCACAGAAAACACGTAGAGTTGTGATTCGAAAAGAAACTATTTAGAAAGAGAGAAAATTTGCATGCGAAAGAGAAATAAATAACTATTTGAATAGAGAAAACATCTTGGCTCCTGCTCCCTCCACCATGCTAGACATATTTGAAACGGCGGCAGTTGCATTGCCAAGGGAGGTTGGAAACACAGATCCTTGAGCGGATCCATTGGTGGCTGCTGAAAACGAAATGATAGTGAAATTGGGAGAGGAAATTAGATAAAGATCAATATATATCTCTACAATAGAACTTCACAAGTACATCTACTTTACAACGAGAAGATGATTATAGTAATTTTGTCCCGCTCTTTCGAGGGGACTCCAAAAATTGATTATAATACTCAGAGTTTGCTCCTTTGCACGGAAATCTTTAGTAAAAGGCGAAAGATTTTCACGGTCAAATGCAGAGGAACCAGAGTTAGTTGTCTGCTAGCAGTCAGGGAGGTCATGCAGCCGATGTACCGACATACTCCGGGTTCCGCGCGTCACTATGTTTTCCGTGCGGGTGACTCCGCCCCATTCTCCCTTGTTCGGATGCCAGGTGCGTAATTCAGTGGAAATCGTTTGTGAAAAAACTCCAATAGCCGAGAATTCAGATGACATAACTAGAAACAGGTCATTCATAAAGTTTCTACATAAAGTCAAGCGAAAAAAATTGAGTTCATTCCAAAAAAAGAAAAATAAAAATCACATCACAATAACAACATCAATTTCAAAAAAAACAATTGGTTTTTAGGTTTTTAGCCGTCGTATACCTTCTTGAATGTGCGAGTTCGATTCTTCAAGTTGTAGTCGTCGACTGATGGATTGATATGTTTTACTGTTGAGTCTTTCTTCATCAATTCCTTGCATTGCGAAATCTTGATAGACCTTTTTCACAATATTGGAAAGAGAAATGAACTGGGTTGCACTTAAAGACTGTTGAAGACGTTCAGTCAGCCAATCGTTAATTGCTTTCATTTGATTGTCGTACCTAAACGGGTTACTGTAACTCATATCTGAAATATTCAATGAACGAACCAGTGTTCAAATAGTCCATTGACCCAGATTTCATCAATGATAACTTGTCGTAAAAGTTCTGTACACCCATGGAAAAATGTCACATACGAGTTTCCAATTTGTCCGGATGATTGTTGAGCAGTCAGTGGTTGTCTCTGAAAATCTCACAGAGTTTTCAGTCAAATTCGTTTCAATCATACTTGTGAACAGGGCCCTGGCGTACCTTCGCCGGTCCTTCCATAGTTTCTTTTACAAAAAATGTTTTTGAACCAACTAAATTAGATATTATGATAGAACTCGACGAGTATCACAAAATGATACTGTTTAGAAAGCTGCATCTTGTGTATGAACCAAGTTATAAGCTATACAATCGCTGATCCGGCCTGCCGTTTTTTTTCCGGCTGGTTGGGGCCCATGGTGTCTTCCTTGTGACATATCTTCTCAGGACTTGATTTTTCGGAAAAGTTGTCAACTAACAAACCAAAGCAAATGTCTTGATTCCTATACTCTCAAATTTTCAGACAATTTGAAACATTTTGAATATTTTTTGTAGGGCTAAAAAGCAAGGACTACTACTTTTTGGAGCCTTGTGGCTTTAACTTCGTTCTTATAGTTAGAAAAGATACAGTTTTCTAAGTAGTAACATTTTGCGAATTCTATCATATCAAATTTATTTGGTTCAAAAATATTGATTCTAAAAGAAACTATGATAGGGCCCAATTTACAAGTATGGTTTCAATCCTACCGTTGAACTGCTTGACTGAACCGAAGTGTCACCTGCCATTGTCTTCAATTTGTTGAAAATCGATGCAGGCTTTGGAGCAATATTCAAAATTGCTCCAATCGGATTTCCTTCGTCATATCGTGCAAGACGAGAGAGTACTGATTCGAGAACACCGAGAAGTTTCTCTTGAATACAAGATTCCATGGTTTTGAGCATTGTCTCAAGAGTCTCATCGAGTTTTGATTGATATTTGTACTCTCCAGAATCAACAGTCACTCGAACTGCACGACTTTTCGAACTGAACATCACATTGATTTGAACACAAACTTCCGATGGAAGCATGTAATCAGTTGATTTCTTTGCTTTTTGCATCCAACTGTCGAAGGCAGTGAATGTGCTGCAATGGAAAATTGAAATTAGGAGTTCATAGAGACAAAGGAAATTACCAATCAGAAACTTTCGAGATCAAGTCAGAGGTAAGAGTTTTCATTTTGGTCTGCAAATACTTTCTGAAGTCCTCTTCTGGCCAATTGAGATCAATCACAAAAGTGTGAAGCGCATCCATTTTCCAGTAAATGTCTTCAGATGTTGCACATCCTTCTCTGGAAGTTGAGGAACTTGAAATTTTCAATTCAAGGTAGAACAAAGAATAACTAACTTCCTAGACTCCCACTTCTCCTTTAAAAATCCTTTATCAATTGCCTGAGCAATTGAGTGTTCCATCAAATCAATGTACCGTACAACAAGTGGTTGGAATTGTTGAACCAATTTATTATGGAAGATTCCTCCTTTGAGATTTGCTGAAAAATTCATGATGGAGAGCTGAAATGTTTTGTTTTATTGCTTACGCTCTGATAACAAGAAATCATTGAGCATTTGGAACAGAGGGAAGGAATCCCAGCTATCATGTGGTTGAACTTCCAATGCTGAATCCAAATCTACAGAATAGAGAGACCAAAAAATTTCCGAATGATCCGAAAGAAGATCCGAGAACCATGAGAACGCCTGAAAATATAGATATTTGAAAGAAAAAACAAATATATTCTGAAGCTTAATCAAAAAATATAGGAACCACGCTGAGAACGGCACTGATCTAACATAAATTACAGTAAAATCTCTTATAGAAGGGCCCCATACTGTCAAGTTTAAGCTCAATTAACTCGGCTCCCATAAGAGATATCTAAATTGTGTCAACCGATAAAGTATTGGTGATGTTAAGGTGAACAATTTATCAGTTAAAGGTGGGGAGACAAGAAAAAAAAATATTGTTCTCGAAATTCCGTCTGAATATGCCCCTCGAGGAGTTGAGCTAGCATGGGCGAGGATTGAGAGTGCGGCGCCGCTACCGACTGAGCCACGCGGGCAAAAAGGCAGCCAGCGCCCGATTTCATACATAAAGGCGAGGACGCCGGCTGTACGCAGAGTGGCATTAAGAGTTGAACACCGTGACGGTAGAATGCATACTCTAGCTACAAAAAAACTACGAAAAATCTCCTGTCCCCCCACCTTTAAAAGCTTTTCTATATTTTTCGCAGCAATTGAGAAAAATTGACTCGAAGTTAAAAGTTAGGGGCACTTCTATTTCAGGTTTTACGGTACCACTAATATTGTAAATTTGGAACATATTTTTGAGTTATAAAAAACTAAAATATAGAAGGTTTCTTGGCAAAAAATTGAGGTTTTGAAGAGTTAACAAATAACCTGTTGTAAAAAACTCAAAAACTGAAAATAGGAGCACAGCAGAAAAAAAGTTTTAAAAAGTCTGTAATTTAGGATAAAATGAAACTGAAAGCGAAAAAAAAAGAATTGGGAAAATGAAGGGAAAAGAAAAACACAAAAATGGGTAACAAACGGACAGAAGAAGAGGTCGCAAGATTGAAGAACATACCCCTCGGAGTTGCTAAAATACCTGATTTATTTTTTCGAATTTTCGATTTTGAAAGAGGATAGGAAAGAGATGCGTTCGTACAAGAGGCATTCCAATTTAATTATCAACTACTTACCTCTCCATGATGTTCCTCATTCTCCTTCAGCAGATCTATGCAGAATTCCGTCACACGAATCATATCTTCTATACGTTGAGCTGGAGACACATCATTTCCCATTCGTTCTGTAACTAAATACATTAAAAGACAATCTGCCTTTTCTTGGATCATTCTGACAAGACTGAACAAGTCAAGTCAATCGTTTCCAAATGTTCCAAGATTTTCAAAAACTTACGTTCAATTTTAGCTTCATTGCAGATCCTGGTATAGTTGACGAGGGCAGCATCTTCTAAACATTTCCGAATAACTGCTCTGACTTCTTCTGGTGGAACTGGCGATACGACATCCTTCATCAAAACTCTCTCCAGAAGACCCAACGTCCCTTTCAAAGCACCTTCCGGTCTTCCGAATGGGAAACAGTATCGGAAGTTAGTGATCTGTTTCTCCAAAAGGACTCTCAATCTCTCTTTAATCTCCTGGAACTTCTCCTTCTCTTCTAAAGTCACAGTTCCAACGCCTTCTGGTCCTTGTCTATCTGGCATACATCTATTTCCATGTACATGAGATGCACAGAATGCAAAGGAATAGTGAATGAGAGCAGGATCAATCAATAATCCATCGTCAGCTTTATCCAGAAGGTTCGAGAGAAGAGTGACGTGTCGGAAGCATCCACGAACCATGTAACGAGCAGAGTATTCTTCCAAAACAAACGCTTGACCAGGAGAGAACCATCCCTACAAAATAATATTTTTCGACGCCTGTCTAACTTGTTTAAGATACCAGAGAACAAATTGGTTCGTTGATTCGGAAATCTAAAGTAAGTCTCTGAATATCCGAATAAAGATGATCATGATCAAAGTTTATAGAATCTGCTTGAATCAAAGCATCCATCCCATGTTTGCTTGCTTTATCTTGGAATCCTTGAGCCTTTGGAGCAATCGTTGACTGTTTTGGCGGTACTGGTTTATATGCTTGTCCTGTAGCCCGATAAAGCGCTTGAACCCAAAGATGTCTTTCGTTTTCATCATCCGTGGCAAACTTGAGTTCATCTCCTTCTTTGATGGCAGTGAAGAAGTGCTTCCCACCTTGTGCAGACAGTTCTGAAAACTATGTTCTTGGGACACCTCTCTTGAAATTCAAAACTTCCTAACACCTAATTTTTGCTTTTCTTTTTTTTTCAAATTGTTTAAAATTTTCGCAGTTTTGCAATTTTTTTTTCGAATTTTTGGTATTTTCGAAATTTCCGAAATTCAAGGGGTTTTTGAATTTTTTTTAATTTTTCAAAGTTCTGAATTGTTTCAATTTTTCGTTTTTTTTGCAATTTTTGAGTTTTTTTTTTCAATTTTTCGGAATTTTTGGAATGTTCGAAATTTGAGGGGTTTTTTGAGCTTTTTGGGTTCTTTTTCTATTTTTCAGCTTTTCTGATTTGTTTCAATTTTTCGAATGTTTCGAATTTTCCGATAAATCCTGAATTTGCTTCCCGAATTTGGTTCTGGTTTACCTGGATCTGATTCTGGCATGTAATCGATCGTGAATCCATCCAATTGAATAAATTCCGTCGGATCTGCTTTCTTCTCTCGAAAACTACACACAGCAAATGCGTACTGTGAAACTTGCACCAAACAGAAAAATCTCTTCTTCCATTTCTTCCAAGAGTTTCTCCCGATACACCAACAATGCCCACTGTATTTGAGATTCGGTGGTTTCTCAATTCGAATCGCTATTCTAATCTTGAGGCTAGAATCTTGACTATTCTTCGGAAGTGTCATTGTGTACCATTCGGGATTCCTTGAGCAGTTTGGGGTTGGTGTGATCATAATCTACAATCATAGAGTTATCAATACTGATCCATTGGAATCCCAAAACCCACTTTTCCTAATTCTTTATCATCAAATGATACTAGACTTTTGACTTCTGTATATAGTTTCACTTTGACTGTTGGCAATGGAGTTTTTGTGGTGAAGTCTCCTTGTGTATCCCATTTTGGTTTTGATGCTTCAGCATGATCTGTTGCGAGTTTATGCCCATCTACGTCCATGACACAATATACTATTTTGTTTGGTTGGATGGATTTTAGACCTTGGACTTCCATAACCACAACCTAAAACCGTTTTATCTTTCATGCACCTTTGATGTACAGTACCTCCATGCTCAATGCAAGCGATACATCTGATTTCGTCAGTGTCACATCTCCATCATCACTGTCTCCTTTGTTCAAACTTCCAGAACTTGTTCTTCGTTTCAAGCTGTAAAGAACGAGCGATTGGTGTGCGAACAGTGCCATTTAACCGAAAGAAACAAACACATTTTCATGAAAAAAGCGGGTCAGAACACGATTTTTCACATTGAGGCTTGACTCGAAAACATTTTCCGCGATTCAGATAGGAAGCGAATAGATTTTTTTTTTCGGCTGAAATTGTTTTTTCAGAGGCTTTTCATGCTTTTTTCGCTGTTGTCCAGCATTTTTTAGGCCGAAACACATTCCAATTTGTGCGCATAGAGATATATAAGAGCAGCAATTTTGATATGATGCATTCAGCGGGATAGAAAAGAAATCGAACAGGCGTTGGCGGATTACTGTAGGCGCTCATTGCTTTTTTCCTTCGTGCACAGAAAAAAGTTGGATGTGGTTTAGTGACCAACAAGGAAAATAATTAGTGTGATACGGGTTCAAGACAGGGAAAGCAGCATCATAAAAATAGGGAAGCAGCAAAAAGTGAAGAAAAAAAGAAAAAAGAATCAGAGTAATCAGAGGCAAAAAAGAGGGATTCAGAGGGGTTTCTTGGTGTATTTGTGTGGGAACTGGGAGAGTTCAGACTCTTTTTTTAGAAAACAAACCTGTTGAAGAGCGACAAATCCTCAATACTGCGGGATCTAAAAAAGAGAAAATTAGATGGACGGAAGGGGTTTAGAAAGACACATGGCAGCATTCATACAGGTGTGAATTACTTGGTGGTGGATTTTGGTGGAATCAGTCGGACGAAAACGATTTCAAAGACGAAGGACGAGATAAGTTTGTGTGATGTGTGGTTGACAAGAACTTAGTGAGCGATTATTAGGTTTCATCTGAACAGAGAGTTACTTCTAAATGAAGTAAAATAATCGGAAAGAAGAAGAAGTAGAAGTAGAAGTAGAAGAAGTAGAAAAAAAACAGAAGAGTAGAAGTAGAACATCAATACGGTATTATTCTGGTACAAAAATTGGATGTGTGGAAGAGAAAAGTCGGTGGCCGTGGGCGAAGGCCACACAACGACAACTAACGTAGGCTAAAAACATGTTTATTGATTTTTTCTTGTTTTTTTTGGCTTTTCGTGTTCTCTGTTTTTCCCAGACAAGTGGGGAAATGAACATGGTTGATAGTGAAAAAAAAATTGACTGAAAACGTACGAAAGTCGAGAGAATAAATTCAGAAAATAACTTTTTTTTAAGGTTACGGTAGTTGTCGCTGTAGGACTTTCCGTCACTACCATCGGCGTTTATCTTCCCCAGCTCCGATTTTTTCGTACCAGAATAATAACACCGTGTGTTTCAGAATGAACGAATCCTTCAGAAACACGCATATTGAACAGAAGAAGAGGAGAAGAGAAAGTTAGAAAGGTTAACACAGGCACGTTACGGTAGAAGTTAGTAAGTGCGCTCTATTTGCATGACACGTGAGCGTGCTCAATTTCAATAGAGCTCGTTTGTGTGTGAAGGCTTGCTTATAGATGCTGGCTTGATTGAAAAATAATCAGAATCAAAAATATTTGGATTCAAACGAAACACATACCGTTTGTTTTTGGTTTGAGTTCTGAAAAAATAAACGAGGGACTGAATGACGGATGGACATAAAAAGGGAAAAAAATTAGTTCCAACAGAATCTAGTGCTTGAGTGGATAACAGGAATAAATGGTTTCCATTGCTTTTGATAGTTTCTCACTAACCGACTCTTATCTTTCCGTTTGCCTACAGTTTGTCCTCGTGTCGTCACTGGAACTGTTTCTAGATTTCCGATCAAAGTGTTGATTGACATTCGAACTTCATCCATATACAACGTCTCCATGTCTTTTACAACAAACTTTGGTGTTAATCTTTTCATCTGAATAATTTTCATTAGATCTGGAAAAGACCTTTTTGACAACAAACCTTCATCGGATCTTTCAACGCCTCTTCCCTAGTTGCAAACTCTCTTCGGATAGCTGCTGCTTGTTCATCTGGATTATCCAGTTGAAGAGAATTGAAAATTATTTGATGTTCGAATTTTTTAACCCCTAGAATCTGCTGGAACACATCGTAGAGTTGCTCTTTTCCAAGAACTGCGTCTGCCGACATTGCACTGTTCGGATTTCGTGAACGTCCTCTGAATAAGACATTTCATTTCATCCAGTCACAAATTGAACTAACCTTGCATTTCTATTCTGATCCGTTTCATCTCCTTTGATAATCGCATCGAATTTTGCTAACCACGAGTTTAGTACTGTATCCTTTGATAGACCTTCAATATCCGGTAGACTCCTAACCCTTTTTTCGATAATCAACCGGAAAACTTCTCGAAAATCGTGCTGAGAAAATCCACCGGCATGCACTACTTTTTGCACTCGTTCTGATTTAAGAAACACTTCCGTATAACTCTGAATTGCTTTTGTGAATGCCTCATCAGCCGCAATATTGGTTTCTCCTCTCAAAAACTGTGCAAATCGTTCTCGAATTCTCGCTAGTTCCGGTTTGTTCACTTTCATTTGTCGTCGTGCCATATCACCAGTCTGCTGTCCATTGAATGGATATGCTACGCATCTTGCAATAAACACGTACATCTGAAGATTCTTCTTATGCTCTTCCTCTTCTTTCTCTGCTCTGAAATATATTATTTATATTAATTTTCCTCGTCATTATCTGAACTCACTTTATTCTCTCTTGTTCCTCCTTGCTTAAGGAAGGTCCTCCATCATCACTGGCGACCATAGTGCCTGATCCTTCAGTTTCTTCTATCTCTTCACCATCTAATTCTTGAGAGTTCTGCAGCACCGGCCTTGTAACGTTGGACATTGTTCTAGCCTGAAATCAAAAGGTACATTGATGAGACTAATAAAATAAGAATGTAATGTGATGCATGCTAGAAGTTACAAATTTGAAGTGTTAGTGAAATATTTTAATGTGAAACAATTGTTACAAGTACAAAATTGATTAGTTTTCAAAGTGAATCGTAGAAAAGTTCTATCAATAGATTCAAGGTTTGAAAAAATTCTAATTTTTTAAATAGAAGTATAAAATCAACAAAAATTACTATTCTAAGTACCGTAAGACCTGTAATAAAAGACTGTCAAGTGTGAGCTCAATTATCTCAATTCCCGTTCAAGATATCAAAAAAGTGTCAACTGACAGAAAACTTCTGATATTATGAGAAGCAATTTATCAGTTGACATCTTTTTTCATATCTCTGACAAAAAAACCGAGAAAAATTGGCTAAAGTTTAAAATCAGGGAACCCTTCTATTACAGCTTTTACGGCGTATATCATTCTTACATTTATTAATGAAATGTTCCAAGATTTGATTGCAGACAAAGAAATACAAATGATAAATTGCCATTCCATATTTCGAAACATATGATGTAGGTGCTCAGAAACCATTCAAAACGTGTTAAACGACAGATACTGGTGTCTTCTTTTTTTCCAAAAAAACTTTTTAATAATTCAAACTTCTCCAAAGTGTGAAAGGAGGTCTTGAATTTCAGTTGTAGAATACGAAAAATTAGGAGCAGGCAGGTTTCGAGCACAAATATTATTATTGAAAGACAAAAAAGAAGATAATGATTGGGTTGCATATTGAAAGTTAGAAGAGAGTTAGAATTGGGAGAAGAAAGAGAAGAAGAAGAAGTGGTTAGAAGTGTTATTTGTGAGAGAAGAAGAAGAGACACTCTATATACACACTGTTCGTCGTCTTACCTGTGGCATTGGTGATGGAGAATTCATTTTCATTGGCTAAACTATTCAACTTGTAACGCAACTTCTTTGTACCCGATAATTCGTTTTTTGAGCTTATAGAAGAAAAAGAGATATTCTTTCAAATGTTTTTTTGTCACTCAAGGAGTTTGTTCGGGATCAAACTGAGTATGTTATATAACCAAATATTTTTGAAAACAAAAATTCTAAATAAGTGAAAATGTGATTTCGAAAGCAACATCCGGTTAGAGATAAATATTGGTTTGAACTGGTTGCTAGGCAACATTCAGAGAAGAATTTCATGCTACGCTTCATATTCAATATGTCCTTCTTCTTTTCCAACTCATTTCTCTTTTACCTTCACTCTTTGTATATTTCAGTTTTTATCCTAATACGGTATCCTCGTGCAAGATATCAAAAATCGGTCAACTGATAAAATGTTTATAATTATATCAAAAACGTTTTGCTAGTTGACTACTTTTTGATAGCTTTCACAGGAACCGAGATTAATTAGCTCAAATTGGGGAAGCCGTTCTATTAGAACGGTTACAATACTCCCATTCTTCACTAACCGATCTTGCCGGTGTCTGACTGTGCACAGAATCTTTCCTTCTAGCTTGTGAACTCGAATTGTTCCTTTTCAATGAATTCGTCTGTGATACAGAATCCGACGGCGCCGGTGAACTGCTCCTTGGTGTCATCGCCCCCGAGAGCAACGATCGCTTTTTGACCTGCGCAATCGGCAGCTGAAACTGAAAAAAGATGATATACACAAATGGATTGTTTGTTGTTTGAAAAAAGGGGAAAATCCCATTTTATCTCTCTTCAAATGACGGCGGTGTTTGTGTTTTGGAGCTTGACGGCTTTTTGCAATTTTGGCTATTTTTGGGACCGAATCGAATTCAGATTTTTGATAACAATATGATCGCTAGAATCCCTAGAATCCGTTTTCACTAAAAAAACAGACTTAGCTTCGAAAAACGGCCAAAACCAGGCTAAATTCTGAAATATTACGTTTTTAGGTGCCGGTTTTTTTCATTCGAAAGTAATTAAATAAAAATTTTGCAGGATCCTGGATATGATTGCAAACCTACCTGCGATTCGTGATCATCCTGGAAATCGTCATCTTCTTCTTCACTACTACTTGCTCCTAACATGATCCACCGAGATGACTGGCTGCAGCAAAAAAAAACAAGTAAGAATTTTTTGGAAAACGATAGGCACATGAAAAAACGGATAGTGCTTGTATGCGTAGCAAGAAGAGTCGAAAATTGAATTGGTAACAACGTGGAATGGACGAACTGCGAAGGCAAAATAATGCATAATATAAACTACTCGAATGAAGAAGGCAACAAAAATGAGAGAAAGAGACGAAATGAGAAAAAAAAGAACGGAACGAACAAAATGGGAATCCGGGAGCGAAAGAGAGCAGCAGCCACAGTTGGAAAAAGAATAACAAACGAGGAGCCAAAAAGGAAAAAGCAGAAAATGGAAGAAGGAAAAGAAGAAGAAGAAGGCACTTGGATTATAGCAAACCGATATGTCGTGTCTCATGGATAAGTGAGAAAAAACGAAAGAAACGAAACCAAAATTTGATGAAAAAAGAAAAAAAGGTGTCTGTTTCATTTGGAGGAAGAGAAAGAGAGTAAATAAATAGTTTAGATGATGTCAGACTTCGGACGGCGGAAGAAGAAACATAATCTTCCATACTTGCAACGTCTCGGACCGAATCAAGAATTCTTCAGGTCCGTAATTTTGCAAAAATGGCATCTTTAATAAAGAACCATAACATGGATGTTTTCGAAAAATGGAGTCGATTGAATAGGTGAGTCACTTGTTTTGATCTGATAACCTAGGAAAGTACGATTTTTGAGATTGAGGATATTTTGAAAAAAAACTTGTCTGGAAAGATCCAAATGAGTGAAAAAGAAGAAGTTATAAATCAGCTATTTCTCCATTTCTTAGTTCATTAGGAATACCTGGGGGATTCTGAAAGTATAGCTCATTAGAAAAAAAAATCGGATTAATAACTTTATCCTACGGGAGTTTCTAGACTACGAAAAACAGAAAATGCACTTTTTGAAGAGTTTTAGAATTTTTTGGGATTTTTAAGATTTCTAGTTTTAGGATTTTTAGTTATAGGATTTTTGGATCATTGGAAGCTAGAAAAGGGATATAAATATACAAAAAATTGTAAATTTCAAAACTTGCTGACGTTTTCTGAAATTCTGAGAATGTCGAATTTTCAAAAAATAAAAAAAACACAGTAGGATTCTAATAATTTAGTATTTCTTGGTTGTATTTTTTCTCAAAACATAAAAACCGTATTTCCTCTAATAGAAGCCCATCCCCATTGTCAACTTTGAGCTTAATTATCACGATTCCTGTGAAAGATATTAAAATGTTTTTAACTGATACAATATTGGTGATATTATGGCAAACACAATATCAGTTGGCAAAAATGTGATATCTTTCACAGGAATCGAGATAATTAAACTCAAAGTTGACAGTTTGGTCGGGCTCCAATTTGAGGAAATACGATAATTCGGTAAAATTTTGAGATGATCCTGTCTTTTGAAAAATTGTCTAAAAAACGCCACCAAAAATCACTAGACGCTTGTCATCTACTTTCGTGTTAAAATCATATTTTTCAGTTTTCAAAAACCAACAGAAACAAATACCAAAGCACAATTTTGGTCTGTCTAAAAATTTCATTTGCGGGGGGTGAAACAAATGGAAAAAGAGTGAAAAAAAGAGGGACAAACTGCAAATATATCTGAATGCCTTTATATCATTAGAAATGCACCAAAATTGAATATTCTGTACCCCCAATTTCTTTTTTCTGTCTGCTTTCCACTATGATTATGACTCGCTTCTGCGGCGGTCATAACATACCATAATTACACATTTCAAAGCTATAATTTTCCACGAAATGATAGAGTTTTTCATGTTTTGTGGGTCATCGTAAAAATAGAAAAAAAAGAAATAGGAGAAGGCGAAAAATTGGAGAAACTCCGAAAAAAAACGTATAAGAAAGAGAAGAGAGGAGACGCGAACGCGCGCAATTCCGGCAGAAGCGACAGAAAGAATGAGAAATGTAAAAGAGTTTTTTTGGAATATAAAATATATTTTGATGTGTGCGAAAAGTGACGCATTATAGAAGACAAGGAGAGGTAAAGTGCGTAGGAAGGGTGGTACCAACTTTAAGAATGCTAATTTCAAGAAAAGGACAAGAAGCATGGGGTTTGAGAGGATGAGAAAAAGAGACAAAAGTGTTTCATTTACTGAAAACAATCGTCAGAGGTCATGGAGAAGCAGCAATGAGTCAGTGGCGCGAATTGGTTGAAACGCGCACTGAAGAAGAAGAAGAAGTAGAAGAAGAAGAAGAAGGGACCCCACTAGAAAATACATGCATTAGAGCCCATGAGAGACGCAGAGGGCACATGGGGGCACACCAGAAGCGGTGCGAAGATCAATAGGCCAGCGGCAACGACATCACGCTGAATTAGGACATACACTACGACACGCAGACGTGGAAACTGAGAGGCGCAGGAGGAAGAAGACACGCGGCCGGGAGCCTGACGACGACTCCGGGGGTCTTCTCTCGTTCTGGAAGAGGCTAATGCTACACTGAAGAAAAGAGAAGAAAAAATGAGAATGAAGAAAGAAGGAGAAGAGAACCGGATATGCAAAGAGATGAGGAGAAGATGCTTCCGGAAACAGAAGACACATCATATTTTGAGGTCTGGATTTCATTAAAATGTACACAAATCCAACAATAATTCAAGTTTTTTGGAAGAAGAGTAGTGCTTTGGTATGAGTGTGTTTTCAATAAAGTATGGTCAGATTCCTACATGTCAGGTAGGAAGTCTGATAATGGAATCCGAAGCTAATCGCGGTCAGCTTTGACTTACTAGGGATCTATCTGGAGTCATCCCCGAGTTATGATTCATGGCATATATCATTAGAAAGCACCTGAAATTTCCATTCTGAATATTTTTTCTGTTCTCGTTAAACGAAAAAAACACTGAGCTTCGAGAAAATTCGGTCAAAATATAGTTTTCAGTTGGTTTCAAGCAGTGTTTGGCTTGTTAAAGGGGCTCAAAGACCAAATCAGGCTGCCAGATTTTGTGAGAACGTAATTTTTATCATTCCAAAAATTTTCAAAAAGCCGATTTTGATAACTTGGAGACGACTCCAGTTAATTACCTAGTTGGGTCGTGGATAGGCCGCTAGGCCGCCGTATCCCACTTATTTCAGAAGAACCCTATTCAAAATGCTGCTGCCGGCCGTAACACAACCGTAGTGGAATCATAAGATCATGATTTGAACTTGAACAAATCGTAACTTTTGAGATAGATCTATAAAATTCTCTAACTTTAGATAATCTAAGTTTTATCCTAGGATCAACAGGGGCTTTCCTATTTTCATAAATTAAGTACTATCAAAATGAATTGGTTCCAAAGATTCTCTCGAAACTTCTAGGACTTCCTGAGAGTTTAGATTTCAAAAACCAGAAACCCTACTAAAGTGATATCATTTCCTATGAGTGGGAACCGTTGATATTTTCGTATTCTGTTCTCTAATGCAAACTAATCTCATTACTGTGTTATGAAATCAAGTGGGTGTCTTTGATGACTATAGTGGGAGAAGTGGCTGAAAAGTCGGAAATAAAGGAGAATGTAACCAAGATATTCCCATGGATACTCTCACAGAAATCAAATAGATGATTGACGGTTAAATGTGCTTTCTGTGGTGTGTGCTTCACTCAGGTCATGCGTTTTTAAATTTATGGAAAACATCCATCTTCTTTCTCTTCCACGAAGAGAATCCCAGTCAGTAAATTTCGAATCCTTCATCTTCTTCTTTTGCTCTTCGCCACGTCAGTACCGCTCAATCTCATACTGAATCTCACAAGAAGAAGAAGAAGAGGAAGAAGAAGCTGCTCCCTCTCACTTGCTTCCAAAAAAAACGAGAGCTTTCCCATCTTTACTAATCGAAACCACTACTTTTCAGAGAATCGGATTGGTGGGCGAAGGGTGACGATGGATGAGAAGAAAAGAGAGAGGAACATATTCGAAACCAAACATATACACTGACAGACCACACAATTATCTTTTCTTTGATTTATTCGTCACGCGTTTTTCGTTGGGGAAAAAATAGCGAACTCGACTTTTTCAGGAAATCCGAATTTTTAGAAGGATTGGGGTATATAAAAGGGTTCGGCTCGAGGCAAGAAAAAAGGTGGTAGGTGACTCTAAAAGCTATTTTGGAACGAGGTTTTGAATAGCAAAAAGTTTTATGATTATGATGACAATTTATGGTTATTTTATGGACTATAAATGCTAGGTAAGACCTGTAATAGCCCACTAACTTTTGAATTTGAGCCAATTTTTTTTCGATTCCTGTGAAAGGTAACGAAAATTTGTCAACTAACGAACTTTTTATCATAATATCACTCATATTTTATCAGTTGATAAAATTTTGAAATCTCTCACAAAAATCTAGATAATTGATCTCAAAGTTGACGGTTTGAGTTGGCTTTTATTAGAGTCAATACGATATCTGGAAAAAAGTTTCAGGTATTCCTAGTCGTTTAATTGAAGTGATGAGATCGACTGGAAACAAGGGAGGATCTCATAATTATGATATTGTCAGAAAAATGGGACGATAGAATCGTCCCTAGCTATATTTTCCGGGAATCGCAATCAATCATTAGTGTTTTCTAAAGTTTAAAAAAGTGATGAATAATTTCACTAATAAAAAAGTTGGCTTCAACTGATTTGAGGTAACTCTGATTTATGATTATTATTGAAATTTCAAAAGAACCACAGGGTTTCAGAAGGCTAGACGAAATTCGATATTTTCAAAGGGCATGTGGATTTGAGCTGTGTGTTTTTTTATCAACGCCCGCTTTTTCGCTCATTGTTGTACGTTTGATACTTAGCCAACAAAAAGATAAAAATATTAAGAAGCATCAATCTCACATTCGCTGGGTCGCTATTTCTGACCAGACCATTAGTTCCTGAACCGGAGAATAACCCTGAAAGAACACAAAATTCGTATAAACGAACATCTCTGTTCACAGACTGCTACAAAAAGTCACCTAAATGAAATTGAATGAGGAAATGTCTCATCATCAGATTAGGAGTCTGAG